AACTAGACATCCGTGGGTATCAACAGTTCTAAGGCAAGTGAGACAACGCATTAAAGCAAATTATTAGACAACCGTGGGTATCAACAGTTCTAAGACACAAAACACAGAAAAAAAAAAAAAAAGAAACGTAAAAGAAATTCGCGATTAATTCTGGAAATAACTTGACAACAACTGATATCAACAGCTCTACCAGATTGAAATTCCTCCTGTTCCCCTCTCATTGTTACACTACAGTGAATATCATACATGGTATCGACTGGACTTCACATGATAGAACGAGACGGAGGCTTAGATTGCCAGTCCCATGTAACGCATGACAGAACTACATTTAGGTATTTGTGACTGTGATAAAAATATGGTTGATAATGACGATGATAATGAGTTTGATGATGTCGATGACGACGATAAGGATTATGATGAACATGCAGATGATGATGATCATTATACAAATGTGCAGATTAAAAAAACCTGTCACTACTGTTCCTGTTTAGCACCATTTTTAAGGGAGTATTTAGAAGGGACCATGAGCCTGAGGATTAGGGGCTGCATGTCTAGTGTATGCAGGTTAGGATGTTCATATGTGTCCCAGACAAAAAATATCCATGACCTTATGTCACATACCGCTCGTGTCGCGTGCCTGATTTAAGGATTTCTCCTTAAGAGCTAACATCACTCTGAAATAATAGTATCGAGGCGTCGGCTCGTATTGGTCTAAGGGATATCCCGTGGCCAATATTCGCTCAACTTATTTTAGGAGTAGAGCAACTCAAGCTCTGGCACTACATAACATCTAATATTCCTAGGCCCACTTGGCTGGACATCCCCACTACTATAAAAAGATAGCCCCCAGGCTATGAAAGAATACTATCACAGCCATGTTAACAAAGATGCAGATTATTAATTAAACATACATGTACTTTACACAGCTAAGAACAATGAATGAGTGACACTCCAATCAATAGTGAAACTTTAGAAATACTGTAAGAAATTTAACATCAACATGATAAATGACTCAAAGGAAGATTAAAAAGCATTGGAATTTTGCAAGATCAACATCGAAATTCTCTTGACGGACATTAAGGAATCTCTTAGAGACAGCCTGACATCATCACGGTGATTTGGCGTGGACCTGTAAATATAGAACACGGCATGGCCATAGAGTTCACTACCTATCTGTTCCTATTCTAGGTTGGAGTCACTGCACTTATCAGTTCATGATACTGGAACAGGCTTGCCTTCTGAGAAAGTTCACTTCAATGGTTGATCCGGCAGACACAGTCACATATAGATCAAAATTTGAGCTGAACAAGCTCCTAAAGAGGGTGTTCTGGACCGAGGGTGGTCCTGATGGACGGGAACAACATCCTTTCAGCCACTGGAGCCCAACACGCTCCTGAATAAACCACACTGGTGTAAATGTCAATGGCGCTGCCTGTAAGCAGATGCCTACTCTTTGGCTCTCACCTTGCTGTTTGCCATAGTGATGGTTTGGTAGTGGGTACTTTTGTGGTTGGTGCTTTAGTAGTGGGCACTTTAGTGGTTGGTGCTTTTCTAGACTGCTGATTCAATGCCTTGCCTCCAAGGAGATTTTCAGCCTGGTGCTGTCCCGCACGCCCGCCAGACGTCCAACGTTCACGACCAGCTCACCCGTGGCCATCCAGTTCCTCAGCACGTTGGCCCACCTTGAACTTGGGGGTTTAAATTCGGAGTTTGCCGTCTCCTAGATGGACTGCTGTGCAATGCTGACTGGTTCCATCTACCCGGACTTCTCCCAGAAAGAAGGCAACATTTTGCTAAATCCCATGGACGTTAGGAAACTTCGTGCACTCTTAAACATCTGCTGCACTGTGAAGCCCTTGTTGACAAGACTCTTCCTGAAGTTCAATACACAGTTGATTTATTAAAAGGCCCCACCTTTGAATAGACACCACCTAAGGAATCACTGATGAATACGCAAGGATACCTACAAACTCCAGCTCGCCTGTTGTTTCTACCACAGCCAGTGTAATCAACGAGGCAACAAGAACAGAAACCTGATTTCCTCATGTATCCAGCAGTGGAAAACATTGCCGTCATGTGTTTGAACTAGTAAAAGATTTAATTTAAGCGATGAAAACCGATTCAATTCGCAGTTTTTGCCTTGAAATAATCATGGTTGCTAGCGCCGCCATACCGGAAGTCAAGTTTTTTTCTAGACGGGACATAAGCTTTGTTAATAGTGATTGCAAACACAAATCGAATTGGAAACTGTACTTACCTAAACTGAATTGGCGTATCCGATTTACTCATAGAAATGCGAGGAATGAGTACACCTCCACCCCTGAAAAGTCCTGTCAAGATTGGAGTTTTTACAATGTAGCTGAGTAAACGTTTTACTGCACGCCACCTGCCGTTGCACAGCTTTAACTGGCTGATATTTCAAAACATTTTAATTGGTACTCCGATCTTCAAGTGCAGTATGTGCGGTGGTATCCCTAAGAGATCGAGTGAAATCAAAAATTCTACTGGATAATTACACGCTTCATTAGCTTGCACAACAGTGTTGACCGATTTGTATGTGACATCTTTGCTTCAAATTGTAGACTGAATAATATTGTTAAGTTCATAGACGTCGTTGTTTCTGTTGGAAAGAATAGCTCGCTTACTCAACCAAACGAAAGACTTATTATTTACATGAATATTAGGAAATACTTTCTCAACCAAGTCATCTTTTGACGTCACTAAATTGCAGAGGTAAGACCAACAGGCATCTTCCCGTTCCCAATGTATAGCAATTGATGTGAGAATATCTCAGTTGCTGGATAGTTATAATGCCGGATACGCATATTATTAGTTAACTTTGACGTCTTAACTCCACGCAGATCTTGTCATCATCGATCAAGAGCATCTTCCGCATCTCCTGCAGCTTTTCTTGTGAGTCCTAGCCATCTAGTTTAGACCCAATCCACGGACTCTTAGCGGTGGCTGTAGTCGTCGGAAAACCGCAAATTAAGTAGCCGGAAGTGCCCAATTGACAAGTGACTGAGGCCCTGTTTTTGGCTGCCATTGGCCGCCATCTTTTGTCCCGTTATTTGGAGGATAGGCCTTGATTTTTTTAATGGTTCCTCAGGTGCCCGTTGAAATTACGGAAAGACAAATACCATATTTCCTCAATAAAAGACACACTTATTTTCCAGATATAGTCTAGAACAGTGTACGTGTCTTTAAATGGAAGCGTTCTTCTCCAAAAGATTTGTTTGAAAATATCCTGTACAGTGCCTAATTTGGAAATGCCGGTTTAAGTGCCACAGTATTCTGGGCACAATCTGACATTAGCAGGTAGTGTGAAGAAACCAACCACATGAGAGGTTGTTACCTGAGTGAAAACATGCTGAGATACTGTGAAGATTGAAATCATTGTCAAGTCATTAAAGAAATATAGTATTTGAAATGCCTAAAATGGAACCAAGGATGAGGATGAATATGAAGACAGTGATTCGTCATCAGACATAGTTGAGGAATCCCCGTATGGGTTGCAGGGCTTTATTATACGGAAAACAAGTATAAACCCACTGCCAACTCAAAAGCATGCCGTAAGAGTCGACTAATTAGGAGATTTCTTTGAAGTCGTAGTGCATCTGTCTGAAAGGCAAGGAACTAAGAGTCTGCAAACAAATTAGTCAGGTTGGTAAAACAGATACAAACACAACACTCAGGTTCTGGAACAGGACTGCAGCCCAAAAGTGGACGAACAATTAGAAATTTCCACTGGAGTTTACAGCCGGTGAACCCGAAGAAAATAGCTGAGGAAAAGTTAAAGAACTATAATAATGATGAAGGTTTGACAGTGACCAGAAGTTTTCATTATTCTGAATGTTAAATTTTGAATTAAGAATCGACAAGAGAGCACACGGGCTCACATAAGCACTCCGTCCGTATCTTCAGCAGCAAGCGAAGTGTTCCAATTGCGATGTTACCAGTAACTGTCTGATTAAAAATCCGTTCCGCCCTTCCCTTGAGTGTTGAGCACTGGACAGATTCCATGATAGCGCCTCGCAACAACATTCTCCTCTGACCGTAATGATCTATCTGTGCCTCCACACTGTCCACTTGATCCTAAAGAGCCCTCACAACATAAAGCTTGCCATTCATAATTTCACCACGAAGTAGTGAAGAACTTCAAGTCTATCTGTCTGCTCATTTCCCAACACAACGGCATGACATGGAGCAAATATTCAAAGGATGTTAACTACCAGGGACCTCTGAAGTGATGCTTGCCGCTCTGCACAGAGCTTGCCTGTCTATCTTTCTCATCAATGAGTCAGTTACAATCACGGCATGTGTGTACTGTTGATTCTCAAGCTTGTCAGGATTCTATGAGAATAAAACGTGAGTTCAATAACTTTTATGTTTTCATAAGTTTTTTTTTTTTTTTGTCTCCAAATTTTCTGAGGTCCGTCTTACGCTTGGAATCACCTTGTCCTCGGGTAGTACTGAAGATAATTGCAGTCGTGGGAGACAGTTGAAGTGGGAAGGGACCATGCGATTTGCTCCTCAGTCAGCACTCAGGGGAATGAGAAGACTGCTATATTTACAATCGGAATAGGATGTCTAGTGGGTTGGCTACTGAAATTGGTGATGGGTAGCATCTGCAAATGCACCGAAAGCTACGACGTCGGGTTTAATCCCGACTTCATCTTCTTCTTCGTTCCTTCGCTTGAAATAGATTATCTATATCTACAGTGTTGTCACTGGTATGACATTTCCTGTCTGTTGTGATTGACTCGCGACACATAACATTTGGCTTGCACAGATGTCTCGCTTGGCCAACAGTTGTGCCTTGTTCTATTTGGGACAGACTCGGAGGATGTGATCTGTTGTCCCAGGTGTCCACCCAATCACATTTCAGCTGATTCACCGATTAAACATTTTGTGTACAGCTACTCTCAACTCAACTCAATGTAATATATTGTTGGAAAAGGTGTCCATTGTTTGAACGGTAATACATGTATACTTTGCAGGCGACGATGTATCTCCAACACTAAAGAATGGCGGTGCTACAGTCTCGGACTATGAATTATGCAAGAAAGCTTATCGCAAAGAACTCACACCCAATATGTTTTGTGCAGGAACTCAAGAAGGAACTCCTGCGCCATGCCACGGTGACAGTGGACGACCATATTTATCCGAATTACGGAGGTATTTTATTTCTCTGTATAGTAAATTAGCATGTGTGAAAAAAAAAAAACGATGAAAAAAGAGACGCACTGTTTATATGTTGAGGCGTTCTCATTAGTTTTCAGGAAAGCCCGTGCGCCTAAACACTAGCTATGCTTGGTACTTCGACCAGATCAGCGGGGTCGCGATAGTCACTAAAATGGGTTACACTTTCGCATGCCTTTGTATTGGACAGAATGAATACGAAGTTGGTTTAACATTCCAAAATAAATTTCCGGATATGTACTAAAGGTGTATACAATAATGATATTACAAGTATTGAAATGTCCATAATCAGATTCCCCCCACTGATCTCCACTACTTCAGTATATTTTCTGGACACAAGGTTTATAATCGATCTCTGGTATTTAAAGACTGCAGCCTCCTACAATCCTAAGTCTTCACCCAGCTGTTTCCTGAATATGTCATCTCACCAACTGCCTTGTATAAATTCTATTCAGCACTCGCAGGGGTTGAGTGGTCACGATGCATGGCGTCAGTCTCGAGTGCTGGAGGTCCCGGGTTTAGGCCGCAAAAAAGGCTAGGATATTTTCATGTAGACTTCTAATAATTTTCCCTGGCCTCTGGTAGTAAGATCGGAAGCCCGTGTGTATTGTTGCGCACGTACAAAATAAAAAATCATTTGGAGTTGAAGATCGAAAAGAGTAGCCTAACGGCACTGCCCGGGCAAAATTTGAAGTTAAAAAAAATTACTTAAAGTAGTGTAGGATCCTCGCCGGTGCTACAGACTTCGTGCTGAGATACTTCAGACTCAGGCTTGAGTAAGATGTAGAACGGAGCACTTATGGGTTGCTATCCTTGTGCCATTGATGCTGATACTGTGTTTAAACCTACTTCAGAACTTCCATACTCGTAGCGCCGTCTACAGTTCAGGTTGTGCTCTGATGGCTCTGACATCTAAAATAAGTCAAATTACTTCTTGACTTTTTCCGTCACCGTTTCTATCCTAAACACATCATAAAAGAGACTCTAACTAACTCCTATCCACCATCCCAGGAGATGCTTTCCCCCGCGAAACGTAAAACACTAGCGATGAAGTCAAATTGATTTTATCTTTTCATACATACAATGTCATTGCTTTGAAAATGTTGTTTATCTACTTGTTCAACGTCCACTCTAATTCAAGAAAGGATATAAACCCTAACGAAAAGTATATTAGCAAACTTCACAATATAACAAATTCAAACAAAACGTGAACGTTGCGGCTATTGAGCCTTCATCAGCACATACACATTAAACAATACTACATAGATCAAAAATCACTTAGCTAGTATCTCGATGCGGCCAAGTCGGTGGTTACTCGGTGTCACTATGCCAGTCGCCAAAGTCTAACTAGTGTCCGATGAACCAACAGTAAGCTTCTCACTTGGTCGTTAAGATAGGCCGATGGTCTAATTGGCTACCGCAGCGACAATATATATATATATATATATATATATATATATATATATATATATATATATATATATATATATAAATATATATGTAACAATTGTTATTGAGTAGATTTATACACAAATTGAGCTACAGGTTAATTATTTTGCTACATGTGTTTTTAAATGAATTATTACTTTAAAGATTAAAAAATAGGTTGTTTAAATATTTATCTTCAAAATAATAATTCATTAAAAGCCCCAAAAATAGAAGCCAGATAACTTTATGAAAAAGAATCACAAAACGAATAGTGTATTTCAACAACAACAACAATAAAAGGTAAATTAACAATGTGTGGAATATATCAGATTACAGAAGAAAAGGGGAAAAAACTAAAAGAATCACCAATGTAAGAAGAAAAGTGGAGCCATGCAAGCAAACAAAACTACGACCACCAATTAAAAAAAAAAAAACACACACACACACACACACACACACACACAAAGGAAAGAAGAAAGATGAAGCCATGCAACCAAACATGAATACAATCATTACTGTAAGAAGAATGGGGAAGACATGCTAGCAAACAAGAAAACAATCACCAATGAAGGAACAAAAATAAAGCCACACAATCACCATTGTAAAAAGAAAGATAAAGTCATGCAAGCTAACATGAATACAATCACGAATGTAAAAAGAAAGATAAAGGCATGCAAGTAAATATGAATACAATCACCAATGTAGGAAGAAAGATAAAGCCATACAAGCCGACAAGAATACAATCACCAAAGTAAGAAGAAAGATGAAGCCATGCAAGCAAACAAGAACAATCACCGCTATGAGAGGAAATATAAAGTCAGACAAGCAGGTAAGAATAGTCATCACTGTAAGAAGGAAGATGACATCATGAAAGCAAACAAAAATACTGTCACCACTATATGAAGAAAGATAAAACTATGCTTTTACTTCCCATACTAATATGCTCTTTAAGCTGTCACAATGGGTCTAGTGTAACCTTTTTTTTTTTTTTTTTTGAAAAGATCAGTCCTGTTGCTGTTTGAAATTAGAACAATTAGCCTGACAGGCACTCAGGTACACACAGCTCCACTGACTTTAAACATTAAACATGTGATGAAAACTGCCATTATCGCCAAATTCTTCTTTACGGTAGTCACCTAATGAAGAAAACCTTCTTACCAGCAGGAAATTTACATTTTAAATTTACAGTTACAACAAATCAGATAAGCCCAAACTCAGAAATTATTTGTCTGAGAAAGGTTGTCCAAGCGACAAAAAGAGACACAATTCGTAGGGTGTCAAATGCTAAATGTTGAATTGGGAATCGACATCATAGCGCTCCCACAAGAGCGCCGTCTTCATCTTCAGTAGCAGGGGAAGAGTTCCATTTTAGATAACACTGTAACTATGACTGTATACGAGTCTCGCCTTTGCCATGCTCTTGCGCGAGTCTTCAGACAAAAAATGTCATCGCTGTCCAGCCCGCTCTAAAGACTGGCCAGAAGTGGACGGTCCTCGATGCGATTGAATCTGCGCAGAACGCACTAAAGTTGAAGGAGATAATGCAATACACTCAAACCGACCGTCGAGGCTTAGGGCACGGGAAGGTCAATTGGTGGTCAAAGGCCTCAGCCAAAGAACGCCGAGACATGGTAATACAAATGGTGAGGGACAACGAAAACGAGGTACGGGTCCAGAAAGTAGCCCAGCAGTCGCAGCAGGGCCATTGGGTCAGCCTGGAGAGCGCATTGCCAAGAATACTCACATGGGGTGAGATTTGGCGAATGACCCCCTTGCGACTGAGCTTTATCGTTCGATGTATTACCGTCCGGTGTAAACATGGTTAAGTGGTCTGCGACCAACGATCCGACTTGCCCGCTGTGCAAAGCGAAGCAGACTCTAGAGCACGTCCTGTCCGCGTGCAGGAAAGCCCTAGGCCAAGGCCGATATACCTGGCGACACAACAAGGTGCTAAAAGAGTTAGCAGCCGTTGTTGACCAGGCTAGAATGAGGGCTAACGCTAGAGCCAGTTCTACCATCGCCCCCATTCGATTCCTCAAGGCTGGGAAGATTCAAAAAGGTAAGGTCAACCGAGACGCATTCGCTCCATCTGTGCTAAACTCTGCGAGGGACTGGTTACTGGCGGTTGATCTGCCAGGCCATGAAAGGGACCCCGAGTTAATCCAGAAGACCGGCCTGCGACCTGACATAGTTCTCCACTCTGCGGAGAAACGGCAGCTCATCCTAATTGAGCTGACCGTCCCGTATGAGTCGCGTATGGACGAGAGTCACACATTTAAGCTCGAGAAATATTGTGACTTAGCAGCCGGTCTGAGGAGAAACGAGGCGTACACGGTACGTGTCTTTGCCATCGAAGTGGGAGCGAGAGGTCTCGTCTCCACTTCACTGTACAATGTGATTGAAGAACTAGGATTGCGCGGTAATGAACGGAAACGAACACTTAAAAAACTGGGCTAGGTAGCCGAGAGGGCCTCGAGCTGGCTTTTGACGCAACGAAACTACGTAGGGGACGGGCCTCGGTGAGCTGGTCCGGGTGCCTAGCGGAAAAGAGTTTTTCATCCCTTGAAAGTCCATCGTGCCCGAATTGTCTGCCAGTGATCCTCTGCCACCTGCTAATAAAAGTCCAACATGTGTCCGGTATACCAAACATAAGCTTGTCGTTCGGTCGTCCAGGTATGCTGACTGTTCTAATAAGGCTACCGTGACGACTTCTTATCTCACAGTGCAAAAGCACCAAGTCGTCTTGTCCCTATCCGAAAAGAGAACACCATCCGGTAATTTCGTGCAGCAGGGTACCAGCCCTGAGCTTCATGAACTCAGGTGGGCCCACCTCTGAAAACGTCTAGGAGATCGTGGGCCGAAACGTTTCTCGACGAGGATAACTTCTACTGATGACTGGTAGATCCCTGCTGTACTTGCTCCCCTGTGGAGTTTATTCCTATTGATTGGCTAGCTTCAGCCAAATCCCCTAGTAACTCGTCGCGTCACCATTCTCCTCATACCATAATAATCTATTTGTCCTCGACACTGTTGATTCGCTTCCAAATGGATCTTTACAACATCCAGCTTGTCATACATCAATTTATTACCAAGTGATTCAGAGCCGACCAGTCTGTCTGCCTGCTAGTTTCCCGAACACCGACATAACCTGAAGAAACTACGATAACTACACGGGACCTTTAAAGCGACGCTTACGACTCTGCACGGAGAATGCCTATCTTAACCTTTCTCAACATGCTCTGTTTGTCAGCTAAAGTTACGATACGTGTGTACAGCTGATTCTCCGGTCAGCAGGAGGCTCCATGTCTGCTTCCGCTCCCATTCTCGAACTAGACACTAGATAGCATATGCCAGCCTTTGCTTCACTAAGTGATGTCCATTTTGTTGTTGTTGTTGCTATGAACCCCTATGCACTTCGTCTACCGTTTACATAACCTTAAAGAAAACTGTCATAAATCATTAGTTCGTTTTCTGAGACCAGCTGACCCCTCCCTGCACTCACGACCTAAAGTGATTATAACACTACACAAATCTGGTTCAGGCTCGGA